CTACTGTCAAGAAAATAAATCATACATAAGTCGTTTTATTATCAATTCTTCTCTATACAATATGTATCATTTATTTGCGTTCTATCTCCTGTAGCACAAACGAAAGCTTTCTAGACTTGGGCTAAATGGTTCTTGATTGTTGATAAAGCTCATCTAGACTTGAGCGAAATACAGCTTGGTCTGATATAGCTCATCTAGACTTGAGTGAAATAGAGCTTGAAATCTGATATAGCACGTCGATCTAGACTTGAGCGAAATATAGCTTGATATCTGGTATAGCACGTCTAGACTTGAGCTAATTACAGCTTGATATCTTATATAGCTTGTTTATAATTGAGCGAAATTGAGCTTGATATCTGATATAGGTCGTCTAGAATTGAACAAAATAGAGCTTGAAATCTGATATAGCACGTCAAGACTTGAGCAAAATATAGTTTGATATCTTGTCTAGTCTTGGAGCTGATTACAGCTTGGTATCGTATATAGCTCGTCTATAATTAAGCAAAATTAAGCTTGATATCTGATATAGCTCGTCTAGACTTCAGCGAAATATAGCTTGATATCTGATATAGATCGTCTATCTTGGTATCGGAAATAGTTTCTAGACTTGAGCGAAATATATCTTGATATCTGATATCTCTTGTCTAGACTTATGCGATATAGAGCTAGATATCTGATAAAACTCGTCTAGACTTTAGCCAAATAGAGCTAGATATCTGATATAGCACGTCTAGACTTCGGCGAACTATAGCTTGATATCTGATAAAGCACGTCTATAGTTGAGCGAAATAGAGTTTGATAGACAGGTGTCTATTGTAAAATGCCGATTGTTGTGCTGTTATTCTATTTTAATCTTTTCCACATTGTTCTTTTATTGTTTGTTTGTCTTCAACACAAAATGTCTCTAATATTATATCCATATTTTTGATATTAAATCAATGCGATATTAAACAAAATCCTGATCGAAATATGCCGTAACAGGTTTATATAATAGATTTGTAATGTATTGTGCAATCAACAAAATATCTTCTAACGGCTAAGATTTTAATCTTGCTTATCTACCGTCATACATTGTAGATGTACTTTTGTTTCTTAATGACCAAGATTACTCATGATGCTGTGTTATTTTTTTTATTGTATAGTGCACTACGTATACATTTAAACAATAATTTTATTTGAACTAAGGTTTAAAAAATAACTTGAATTGAACTAAATTTTAAACAATAATTCTAAAACAACATCGTTTAACGTTCATTTTGATTGGATAACGTCACCAATTCACAATAGCACAATCGATGCTATGAAAACGTACGCATAAGCGCAGATGACTTATGACAGATTTTAAATGTATGATTTGACGTTGTTTTCTGTTAGTTTCATTAGAATGGAGAAAACAATATTGTATTTTAAGCTCCGACGGCATCAATTGGTGATTTGATGCCGTCGGAGCTTAAAATACAATACAGTTATCTCCTAATTCTAATTGAACCAAGTTCAAAGTAGTTCGATAATGCACTAGGTATACATTTAAACAATAACTTTTAAACGATAACTTTAACTGAACTAAGTTCAAAGAAGTTCGATAATGTACTAGATGTATATACCACATCTTCGTAGTTTTATATGCACAAATCTGCTTTAAAACGAAATCTGTAATTGAACTAAGTTTAAGATTGTTTTTACGCACAAACATGTGGAACTGTACTATTAGATCAGCAGTCCTTGCAAAGATTATTGTAATATAAACCCAGGTTTAATCCACCATTTTCTACATGTGAATCCTGAGCTTTTTTTTTAATGCTGTAAATAATTTGTAAAAGAAGAGACCACTTTATAGACAGTGATTTAAATATTATACCGTCCATGTTACCTGCACGATAGTACACAAACTATCCTAGCATCCATAACATTACATTTTCTCAAGCGATAAACTAAGAGCTATATATAAACAGTATATTCTTTTTACACCCCCGCTCGATGGAGGGAGTATACTAGTTTACATTTGTCCGTCCGTCCCATGAAGTTTTCGTCGCATTTTTTTCAGAAACTATCAATCAGAGCTTCCTGAAATTTGGTATCAAGCTTCATGTCATGTCGTTTGAAAATTCTTTGTATGCCGTATTAAGCGTTTTCACATCCATCATCCATCAACTTCCTGTTTACCGACTACTTTAGCGGTGGTATTATCAGTAAGCAATAACTCACACTACATTTGGTTCCTGTCGCCCTTTCTTGTATACGTATATTTTCTGTTTAAAGTAAACTACGTCATACAATTATTAATTGCCAGAGTCGAAAGAAGGGAAGCTTATTAATGTATTTTAATTTTTGGTACAATTCCATCAAATTTGTTTTGAAAAATGCATATTTTTAGATATATTTATACAGACATTAAAACCATAAAGTCGGAAATGCAGTATTCTAGTTAAAATAAACAACAAAATATCACAAAGTATCCATAAAGACAACTGGGAATTTTAGCTAGCTATAAAACCAGGTTTAATCAATCCATATTTTTTCTTCGAAAATGACTGTACTAAGTCAGGAATATTCCAGTTGCTTTCACTCGTTTCGTTGATTGACAACTTTTGATTTTACCAGTTTTTATCGACTTGCCATTTTTGAATTTACTTTTTTCAACCAGTTTCACTGTTCACTAACAGATATGCATGTGGTCTCTAGTGGAAAGTTGTTTCATTAGCATTCATACTACATCTTCTTATTTTTATATAACATTGTATATGGCTGAAGTCGGTATGTCACAATCAAGAAAAAGAAGTTGCCATTTGGGATTATAGCTACCACAAGGGGAACATATCCGTGATAAAGATATACCAAAGGGTCGACCATGATAGCGTACGTAAAGCATTTGACGTGATAAACTCAACCTTACAATTGTGATCCCTTGGCTTTTTATAAGCAACCCTTTCTCAAGGAAATTATGATAGGAAACCCAAGCCCTTGATTATCATTTGATTCATATTATTCCAATTTCCAGAACAAATCTTTTACTATACGCGGTTTTTGACGTCATCTAAAAGTTGTATGGGCAAACTGGATCCCTACTGAAGTGACAAAGTTATTGTGTCCGATTGGCATTTGTTATGTATCCGTCCTTATTCATAAGTTTGTTTATTAGTAAATCCTACCTGCAGAAATATATTAGTTATATCATTTATCACATTCATCTAAGCCATACTATGGAAAATACCCCCATTAATATATTCATTCCTTTGTTCAACGTACTGATGTAGACTGTATGCCCAGCAAACGAACCAAATGACGTAAAATTACGTCCTCTACAACCAATGACTGTGACGAGAAGGTAACGATTGTAATCAAGAATATTAACGTGTTGTTTTCAATTTTTTAACTTATAATTCGATATCCTGGCATATTAACTTATCAATTGTTGTGTGAAGCATCATCGAAAGTACCGGTAATTATGCATAAACGTATTGCAACGGAAATAACGAATCGAACGTCATTCGTGGAGAAGGATCTGAATTAGAACTATCTTTCTTAAGTTTTCAGTGGTTTGTGGCCTGCTGCTTGCTTTTTGTTGTTTAACCATTGTATAATCATTGTGCATGAGGTTCATAACGTGTTGTTTTCATTTTTTACATCACTGGGTCGATACCTCTGCTGGTGGACTATCAGTCCCCGAAGGTATCATCAGCTCAGTAGTCAGTACTTCGGTACTGACATGATTTATAACAAACCTTTCTAAAATTGTCCGTTTATAAATTTTGAAATTATGTAGAAACTAAGGTTTCAACTCCATCAGGCAAAGTTTACCTTAGATAGATTTGGCTATTTTTAGGTCCTTTTTGGTCATATAACTCTTCAACTGTTTCGGTTCTTATACATCCTTGGCTTTCAAATATTTGGCGTTGAGCGTTCCTGATGAAGGTAAATCCAGAAAAGCGCTTCGGACGCATGAACTTTATAATGTGTTGTGTTTATTTTTTAGTGTTGTATGTTTATTATGGTTTTTTTTTATTGTCCCCCTGGTGTCGTCTGAGCTTAATTTTCTTTTTTATAATGTAACCGATGAAGTATCTTGAAAAAGTCGTTCTAGAATAGTATGTTGCAGGACTAAACGAATATTTGAGTTCAGAATACTTCGTTTTTTATCGTTCTGTAAATAACAACAAGGTCGGAGAGAGATCCATACACAAACAAATAGTGTTTTATCCTGCAATTTACCCTTGACACTTTAACGTTTACTCTTTTAACTTCACACCGTGACTTTGATTTTTATAGAAGTCAACATCGCTTAAAACTCGGACCGCGAATTAACTGTGACCAAGCAGTAATATATATCATTATTGTTCGCTCAACAAAGAAACCGGATAACAGGAGACTTTATTAACGAATTGACTGCTTCTTTTTTAATTGGATTTGGGTGTAAAAGCGTTGACCGAATTAAATTTTTCTGCGCTCCATGATACTTAAAAATATGTGTATTCAACGCTTTAACAACCCTATGAAATTACAAAAAGAATCAGTTGAGTCTTGTAATTGCACGTTTATGTTCAAACCAGTCAATTACGAGTTAAATCAAAAATCCTCTTGTTTGCTATTCTGTGCGTAATTGTTTAAACTTGGTCATGGATAGCACGTGCATTGATAGATGTTGCATTTTATTCGGAAATAAATTAAAACTTTTAAAATGCCTCGGCCAATCAAAATTACGGAATCGTTTATCAGTTCTATGTAATGAAATTTTTCGAATATGAATACATCAAAACATTGCTATTAACCTGTTATTTGCACAATAGTTGGATGATTGCAGGATACAATCCATGTCAATTTAGAGAAGACACGTTTTGACACCAGGATGACCAAAATATAAAAGAAAACACACAATAGGCTACGAGTAAAATGTTATATATACTCCATTATGCGGTCAACTGGGTTGTTTAAGTATAAGCAAATAAGTCAATATGATACATGTTGAACTGATTTTTGAACAAATAAATATTTTCTATTTTAAGAAAGCTTAGAAGATGGTACATGTATCAGTATGTGTATTTGTAAATAAACCATTCGAACATGTGTAAGGTTCCAGTCTGGCGATTACTTGAGATCCTTTATTTTCAGGTAAGACATTTGATGTTTAAATATTCTGTCATATAAATACGGCATTGTCAAACCATTGAGGGAATTTTAATTTAGCGTTCGAACACCAACCTCGAGTTTGTTTTTTTTTTTTTGTTTTTTTTTTTTTTTTATGAATGAAATACACTGGTTTACCCAAAGTTAATCGGTGTAAACGACGAACATTCGGCTCTTACTGTGACATATTAACATAAGCATTGTGACCTAGGAAATGTACAGATATGTTCACGAATTCGAAAGTCGTCTATATCGTGCTAAGTAGAACAGGTTCTGAATTCCGGGTAATTTTTTAAATCAAGGCGACAGTAGTTTACTTTTGATTTTGCCATTTGATTAGGGACTTTCCGTTTTGAATTTTCCTCGGAGTTCGGTATTTTTGTTATTTTACTTTTTACCGATTTTCAAATCTCGTAAATCAATTAGGAAAAAGCAAGGTAACAAACAAAAAACTGAGAGAATCGCATGAACTCCAATAGGAGCGAGACCCAAATTTGCATGGACTGGGTAAGCATCTCCTGCATACATGTTTACATTATTATGATAGAATAATAGTCGGCCTCTTGAAATGTTTCTCAATTGATAATTTAGTTAAATTATAAATTAATTTAACTTTACATTGTATGATAAAGTCGTAAACCTTCAAAAGTTTAAAAGTATTGCGAAAGACGAACAAGAGTATATACAAATAAATGATAATGAAACAATAGATTAAAAACAGCAACATGATCGTCTTAAAACGATGAAAAGACAAAAAATAAGACACAACACGTAACAAAGAAAACTAAAAATTGTTTTGAACAACGGAAAGGGGAGGTAAATAAAGGCAACAGTAGTATACCGCTGTTCGAAAAGTGTTTATGAAGGTAGAGTTCTTGCTGAATGAGTGATATTATGAATATATGAATAAAAGATATTAGGTATTTATCTACGACACAATTAACTAGAGGCCGACAGGAAGTCTTCAATATTAATTCAACTCTAAATCTGAATAAAACTTGTGAGTAGTTTATTCTAAAATATCAAAGAACTGCCATCAATACTTTATTCTCCAAAATAACCAACAACAAAAAACAATTCAAATATGACATAAGTCGTGTAACTATTTTCAAATTTATCAAGATATTAGTCGCTTAACTTATGTTTTAAATTTATTTTTCAAAATAGGATTCGTGTGTCTTAATATGTTGAATTCATTCAGAAATTACATTAGTTGTGTATCTATGTACATTTTATTTAGATATGACATTAATTGTTTATCTTTTGTTAAATCCATTTATTCTTATGTTAAATTTATTTAGATATGACATTAGTTAAAGTTATAAACTACAGGTGAATGTCTCTAACACTAAATATTTATCAAATATTTAATTATAATACAATATAAAAACTTTACATTTTTTCACAAATGCTAAGGCTTTCTACCTCAGGAATAGATTACATTAGCTGTATATGGCAAAACTTTTAGGAATGCTCTTCAACTTCGTACTTTAACTTTTTTTTATTCGAGCTTCACTGATGAGTCTTTTGTAGACGAAGCGCACGTCTGACGCAAATACAAAATTTCAATCCTGGTATCTATGATGAGTTTATAATAAAAGAAAGTATATATTATAATATGAAAAAAGAAACAGAACACTTTGAAGGATCAGAAGTTATGACTAATGTGGAGAAAAAATATATGCTCTCAAATTTATCATAAATATTATTCCAATTGAATTGGTCTTCATTCATCTTAACGAGGCCAACGCACATCTTCATTTTTTAGCTGATGTTCGAACGTGTTTGTACTGTAGAAAGAACATGTAATTATCGTATTGAAATACATAAACAAATATGCTTGCTGTTTGGTGTGAGCCAATGCTCCGTGTTGAAGGCCGTACCTTGACCTATAATGGTTTACTTTTATAAATTGTAACTTGGATGGAGAGTTGTCTCATTGGCACTCATACCACATCTTCCTATATCTATAACACATACGTCGTGTAACTAATTTTAAATTTATAAAGATATAAGTAGCTTAACTTATGTTTTAAATTAATTTTTCAAGATAAGACGTTATTCGTATGTCTTAATATGTTGAATTCATTAAGATATAACACTAGTTGTTTATCTATGTACATTTTATTTATAGATATGACATAATTGTGTGTCTTTTGTTAAATCTATTTAATTAATTTTAATGTTATATCTATTTAGATATGACATTAGTTGTGTATCTTATGTTAAAGTTATTTAGATATGAAATTATGTTGTGTATTTAATGTTAAATTACAATGAAAATTCATAATCAGAGATAAGGTAATTATAGTTAACAATATCTGATTTGTGAATTGTCTTTTTCTAAAACCTTAATATATTACCAAAGTTAACTGTAGGTAAATGTCTCTAACACTAATTATTTAACATGTTTAAAGGATTAGAAGTTGTGACTAATGTGGAGAAACAATATATATGCTCCCAAATGTATCATAAATATCATTCCAATTTAATTGTTCTCTTCATTCGTCTTAATGAGGTCAATACGCATCTTTACCATTTCCTTTTTAGCTGATGTTCAAGTGTATTTGTACTGTAGAAAGAACATGTAATTCTCGTATTGGATCACATATACAGAAAGAATTTGAATATTTTTCGTGTGCTTGGTGCTATGATTTTTTGTTCCAAACAACACACAAAACTTTAATTGCATCGGAAATAGTTCATTATCTGTATAATCCAATAGAAAACAGGATAATATTACCTGATATCAATAATCAGACTGACGTAGATAACGTATGCTCAACTCTTGACAAGGATGAATGTCAAAGATGGAAAACATGTTGTCGTGCAGCTTCCGCATGTTGCCAGAAGCAATTATCAATTCCTTTGGGTGATTTAAATAACACATGTGATCGAACATGGGATGGATGGATATGCTGGGACGACACAAATCCAGGACAGCAAGTTTACCAGTCGTGTCCACTCTATCTTACATTTGCAGTGCCTTCCCGTAAGTTTACTTATGCACTGTAAACAAATATAAAACTTATATGATACATCACTCAGATTTGTTAAATTTATATAAAAGATACTGCTTATGACACAATAACGTTTGTGTAAAATGGATTTAATACTTGGAACTGTTTTATGTGTGTTATAGTATTTGTCGGAACCAAGATTTGAAAATTCAACAGAATAAGAAGTTATAAAACAAAAACCAAAAATAATATTCAATGTAACACTAGAAATTTCCCCCGTTTTTTAAATATTCAACAGTAATTCTGTGTAAATCAACATAGAATCTGAATTTTATCAAACTGTAAACATGGGGTCCATACTATATGACTTTTTGTGAAAATAAAAGGTGGCACGTCAAAGAGACATTTACCAATAATGAAAAAAATAGTTTTTAATCACAAGATAAATTAAAGTAATAGATAGTATATACTCCTAGCTAAACAGCATAACTATGGTTTGTATTATAGTAGATGCACACACCATGATATTATTTCAATTTTCATTGATATGCATAGCACATCTCCTTATTTCTATATAGTGGTAACAAAAGGACACAATGATGTCCAATCTGAAACAAAATGAGGTGTAATCGTTATATAATTGTTCTATTTTGAAGGTTAGGCTGGTAAGATCTGCCTATCAAACGCTACATGAGTATATATTGTACTGTTTTTAAAGCTCAAGATGTTAAGACATGCCTATCAAAAGTTATATGAGTACATTGTGTATTATTTTAAAGGTCATGCAGTTAAGACCTGTTTATCAAACGCTACATGAGTACATCTTGTTCTGTTTTACTAAGGTCAAGCTGTTAAGACATGCCTGTCAAACGCTACATGGGAAAGAAGGGAAGGGTTTGAATGGACCGATTATCAACCATGTCTTTATGTTGATGTAAGTGATTTACAAGAACAATAAACGTTTACCCAAACGTCAGTGTATAGAAGACTGGTAGGGACATTATGTGTTTAATTCCTCATTTCTGTTTTGACATATCTTATTTCCACATTGATATTTCTCACTTTTAAGTTGATATGTCTCAGATCCAAGTGGACATTTCTCATTTTCGACTCGATATTTCTCAGTTCAAACTTGACATTTATCACTTTCAACTGACAGTTTTTACTTCCAACCTGGAACTGAGAAATGCCGATTTGAAAGTGAAACATGTCAACTTGGAAATGAGAATTATCAAGTTGGAAATTAAAAAATGCTAACAACAGAATGTCCTTATCGGTCTTCCGTAGAATTGTCCATTTCCGTATTGTATTTATTAACCAGCGCATCTATCTTAATGGTACTTGTACCAAGACAGTCTGGGGACATTTTTTTGTAGGATTTATATATATATATAAACATTCGAAAGATTTGGGATTCTCAATTTTCCAAAACATCTTTCATGGTATATATACAAACAACAAAAGCGCATTTCTGAATTTACCTTCATCATGAAGGTCAAAACCAAATATTTGAAAGCCAAGAATGTATTAAAGCCGAAGTATCCTAAGAGCCAACATAGTAATGTAAAACATGCAAGCACTTATTTCTTATTCTTATTTGTTACACGTTTTAATCACTAGACATGCGGCAATACTATGGCAAAAGAATGTGCTCCTAGAGACATTCGGCAATACTATGGCAGTGGAAAGTGCTCCTCTCTTCACCGATTTGTTCATTTTTTTAGTTACAACAGATATACTTCTTCTAAAGGCTCTTCCTGTCCTGTCGTGTAATGTTGTCATTTTAATGTTATATTTAACATTGCCATAAAAGCAGGAGGTTTGGCTAGCCACAAAACCAGGTTCAACCCACCATTTTTTTCTTTAAAATGTCCTGTACCAAGTCAGGAAAATGGCAATTGTTATCGTATAGTTTGTTTCTGTGTGTGTTGCATTGTCGTTTGTAGTTTGTTCACTTCAGTGTTTCTGTTGTTTCGTTCTCCAAATGTACTATATTGTATTGTTTATTTGCGTAATTCTCTGTCCGTAATGTTGTACTGTATTCATGTCATGTAATGGTGTCATTTTAGTGTTATATTTAAGATTGCCATAAAAGTACGAGGTTTGGCTAGCCACAAAACCAGGTTCAACCCACCATTTTTTTCTTAAAATGTCCTGCACCAAGTCAGGAAAATGGCCATTGTTATATTATAGTTCGTTTCTGTGTGTACATTTCAATGTTGTGTTTCTGTTGTGTCGTAGTTCTCCTCTTATATTCGATGTGTTTCCCTCAGTTTTAGTTTGTTACCCGGATTTGTTTTTTTCTCAATCGATTTATGAATTTCGAACAGCGGTATACTACTGTTGCCTTTATTCTTCATGAAGAATGAATGTCGCTTTTTTAACTCACGTTTTCATAAATGTTTATAGATTTTGTGATTTCAATGTATGTAGTTTGGTAACCATCCATCTTTTTGATCTTAAACGAAAAATACAATAGATGCCGCTAAGTCTACTTCATACCTTAACTCACGCCTACAAATCGACAAATAGCATCTCTTGGAAACGACGCTATATGAAAAAATAGCTTAAAAGATTTTTCCATTGTGAAATGTACATTTTATTAAGAAATATTCAAAACGCACATGCATTCTCTCGGTTGGTTGGATCAGAATTTCATTGGCTGCTCACAAAAAAATCACTGACTTTATGGTCCATATAAGTAAAGTTGAAATCATTTGTTCAATAATTACTTGACGCCATATCAATGTCACCGTTATTGAATATATTTGTTAAATACTTCCATGTATGTGTTCCATTTTTCGTCATCTCAATTCCTTTTTCCGTTTTCTCATACACTTTTATCAGTCAATACGGCTTCAATTATCGAATGTTTACTTGTCGGGTACCGCCTTACAGTCGTAAAAAGACGGAATTGCTTACCATTTTAGAGCACTTTCGTTTTGTGCGAGTGTGCATGTGTTCATGGAGCTAAATATATAGTTTTTCTGAACTGTAACACGCCCTTCTCTGTATTTTTCATAAAAGTATGGCCAACCTTGTATTTCTACTATTTAAGGTTCTCAATGCTCCTTTATATCTCATCTTTTATTAGAAAATAAATATAAAAATAAGATAAAGTAAGGAATGAGGAAGTTTTGTATTAATTGTTTTGGTGACATTATAAAATGTTTTTAAAAATGTTCCGATGATTGTCGCTATTATGCATGTTATAATACAGAAATTACATCTAAAGCAATAGATATATAGCAATAAATTCAGATTATAAGTCTAATTAACCCGTTTATTTCATTATGTAACTGCCATTTTAGGATCTGAAGACATCTATATATATAGGATTTGCGTGTAGTCTTGTCAGCATTGCAGCTTTATTTCCTGCCATTGTTATTTTTATACGATATCAGTAAGTGATTTATTTTGATATATCAATATTTATTGCATGCTTTTTTAGCATTTATAACTGGAATTTGATTTTGTTAAATACTTTACCAATATTTGATCAAGACAATAAAATCATAATATATACAATGTACCCAAAACTGTGCACTCCGATAGTTTAATAAATTTATAACGTATTTTTAAATATACCGTCCAACGAGTACTGTACTGTTACTTTTGTCACATGGATCATAATATCTATCAAATGATACTTCATTAGATTTTCCTTTTCTTCATGTCTGAAGGGTTAATTGAGATACAAAATACTCCTCAGACCGACTCAAATTAAGTTTATTATATTGATATAAAGACATGAATAATAATAGAGCCCATTCATTAATCAGTTTACTGAGCTGAAAATGTTCATGCTTTTAATTCTAAAATAATAAACAAGTCTGGATTTATAATCTTTAAGAGAAATATGTGCTTGCAATATATTTCTATAAGACGATGAACAGATAGACATATATGTGCTTTATATTACTTTAAGACGATGAAAAGACATACATATATGTGATTTATATTTCTATAAGACGACCAAAAAGACAGACTCGTATGGGCTTGATATTTCTATAAGACGATGAGCAGACAATCATAGATGTGTTTTGTATTTCTATAAGACTATGTAAAGACAGAAAAAGATTGTGCTTCATATTTCTATAAGACAATGAACAGACTGACACATATATGCTTTATTTCTCTATGAGACGATAAACACACATACATACATATACTTGCAATATATTTTTATATAAGACTATGAACAGACATACATACATATGCTTTATTTTTCTAAAAGACGATGAACAGACTGGAACATATTTATCAGTTATGGACAGTACGTTGTAAAAAAGTCTCTTTTAAAAAACGCATTTGACTAACAGGTCGAACAACTGATGTTCTTAACTCTACTATTTAGAAAAATAGCGTCCATATACTTAAAAAAAGAAACAAGGCTTTCGGTAAATGGAATACCATTTGAATCACGTGGTCGTAATAACCAATGAAAAAAAAGAAGAATGCAACACCATCTGTAATATATGACCATGAACAGAACAACATACACATGCTTTATATTTTTTATAAAAGAGAGGCGAAAGATACCAAGGGGAAGTCGAAAATAAAATGACAACGCCATGGCTAAAAAAAGACCAACGGACAAACAAAAGTACACTAGACACAACATAGAAAACTAAAAACACGAACCCCACCAAAACCTGGGGGTGATCTCAGGTACTCCGAAAGGGTAAGTAGATCCTGCCCCACATGTGGCACCCGTCGTGTTGCACGTGTAAGTACAAACCTCGTTGATAAGTATAGTTCGGTAGATCACATTTGGTGAAAAGAGGACGAGATTGTAGTTATGACAATTGGAACATATCCGTCGTCATCTGTGAAACGAATATTACATAACGGTAAACCAACTTGTGATGGCGTCCGTAAAATTTACTAAGGGATGATTTCAACTCCAACATTTGGAACTCTTGGTTTAGAAGCTTCCTTGTGAGCAGCAACCCTCTATCAAGAAAATCATGAGACGATAAACAGACTGACATATGTGTGCTTTATCTTTAAATGCACATACAATACACAATACATGTAGACTTGAAATAGACATAAATGGGAGACTTGCAAGTCATTTCTTTTCTGTTTTAGTTGAGTTCTAAATGCAGGTACAAACTATACCCAGAACAATGTTTGTATGCATTTATCACAAAGAATTAAAACTTATCCCAAACAGGGTATAATAAATTCTATAATGTTATACAGATGTTCAGGTTTTGCTAACATCACAAGTATGTGAAAAATATGCAACTAAGTTGAAGACTTCATTCAAACAGATAACATTTAAAATAGAGATGCTGTGATTGTTTTAATATTATATCTTCATATTGGATTATATGCATTTTTATGTAACTTATTACAGATATTATACCTTTGTTATTCATGCTTCCACATTTCATTGCAGAGCACTCCGCAAACAACATAGAATTCGTCTACATATCAATTTTTTCTTGTCACTATTGCTCAAGGAAAGTGCCGTTGCATTGTGGGATATGTTGGTGACATATGAACGCATAACTAACAGCGACACTAGCAGCACTGTTCTGGCTCAGAATGGAGTAAGATTTTTATTTGTAACAATTATTAAAATAAAATAATCATGAAATATATTTGAATATAATTAGCTTTTTGCTAAGTAATACTAGTGCATAGTTCGAGTTTAATTCTTTATATGTCTTAAATGAAAGATCTAGTATCACCTCCATGCAAAAACTGACTTTGTTCAATATAAGTTGGCTGTGTTTTCCTAAGATAACCTGTCGAAAAAGTAATTTCAATCTTCCATTTCGCACGTATTTGTCAAGATATGATATTACAAAAAAAAAACATCAACATTTTTTGTCTGACTTGATCCGGTTTTTTTTTGTCTGACTTGATCCATTTTTTTTGTCTGACTTGATCCGGGTTTTTGTCTGACTTGATCCGGGGTTTTGTGTGACTTGATCAGGTTTTTTCTGTGACTTGATCAGGTTTTTTTGTGTGACTTGATCAGGTTTTTTTTGTGACTTAATGCGGTTTTTTGTGTGACTTGATCCGGTTTTTTGTGTAACTTGATCCGGTTTTTTGTGTGACTTATTCAGGGTTTTTTTGTGTGACTTGATCCGGTTTTTTGTGTGACTTGATCAAGTGTTTATCTGACTTGATCATGGGGTTTTTTTTGTGACTTGATCCGGTTTTTTGTGTAACTTGATCCGGTTTTTTGTGTGACTTATTCAGGGTTTTTTTGTGTGACTTGATCCGGTTTTTTGTGTGACTTGATCAAGTGTTTATCTGACTTGATCCTGGTTTTTTTGTCTGACTTGATCAGGTTTTTTTGTCTGACTTGATCCGTTTTTTTTGTCTGACTTGATCCGTTTTTTTTTTGTCTGACTTGATCAGGTTTTTTGTGTGACTTGATCAATTTTGATCCGGTTTTTTTTTGTCTGACGTTTTTTTTTTTTTGTCTGACTTGATCAGGTTTTTTGTGTGACTAGATCAGGTTTTTAGTCTGACTTGATCAGGTTTTTAGTCTGACTTGACCAGGTTTTTTGTCTTGACTTGATCAGGTTTTTTGAAAAGATGCACGTTGTCACCTATGTAATTTTTATGTGCATTTTAATTTGATTTGATACTTTTTTCATTAATACTTCCCTTTTTTAACACATTAATATTGCTTTCTTGCTTATGGAAAAATGTATAGGAACAAAACTTGACTATTTTGTAATAAAGTAATCTTTTATAAAAGATGAAGTTCATAACAGACATAAAGACATAAGAACATTTTACCTTTTCATTATGAAAGATTTAATTATTCTAATTTCTTCTGTCGATGTAACATTATAGAAATCCAGCAATCAAGCGATATTAATTCAGATTATTTTAATGAGAAGTAATCTGATTAAAGTCTGGTAAGTATCGACAGAGCCTTCAATTATACAAACATAGTTCTTTGAAATATATTCAATTCATCACAGTGCACTTTCAGATAAAGACGCAGTATAAAGACAGAAATAGAACATACATATAGAAATAAAGTACTTTTTGAAATAATGTCTGTTTAGCTTTGTTAATTTAAGACAAAAAGTACGATATCGGATATCTTATTGTTTAAAAAAACACACTTGTCAAAGAACTGAAGTATTGTATTTAAAGCGCATTCCTAGATTAACATCATGTGGTGCCATCGATGTGAAAAGTTTCGACATAGCCTCTCCTTCCCCCCAAAAAGAGAATGAAATACACCTTATACCTATATACACTGTTATATAGATATAAGAAGATGTGGTATGAGTGCCAATGAGACAAATTTCCATCCAAGTCAAAATTTATAAAAGTAAACCATTATACCTTTATTTACACAGGCTGGATGTAAAATATTGTCCTTTCTAAAAATATATGCTAAAGGTGCCAGTTTCACTTGGATGTTTTGTGAGGGTTATTATTTACACCGACTGATGAGTGATGCCTTCTCTCCACCTCGTTCACTAATACCTATATTTGTTGCAGGATGGGGTAAGTTATGAAATCAATGTTATAACAAAAGTATTACATTTCTTTATGCGAGCGTTGCCGAATATTGTATTTATATTCGAATTGTAATTATTGATATCAAAGAGGATAGAGAGAATATAGATTATATAATTCAATGTCATATGAAAAACAAAATAATGAATAATACCACCAATTTGTTCAAGGAAATGATCTTACAAATTTACATTTGTATACTTCTGTGTGACCATTCTGGGTGCTTGTTCAACTGTAGCTACCAGGTCTATTCAATATAAAATTAAGAGTTTTTGTATGGTTGGCAATGAGACAACTATTCACTAGTGACCGGTAAAGGGCAATGATATAAGGCTTGTTATACGTACAAACAAAATATCTAACACTTTCCTTTGACAGAGAGGATTCGGCATCAAATTGAGGTTTCAATAAGTCAATGAATTTCAGCAAAGAGAATAAAAGGAAATATGAAGTAGCTTATAGGTCAATGAAACATAGAAAAACCAAAAGACGTCTAGATGTCAACAAATAGTTCTCTGTACATTTAAATCAGCTACTTGAAAACACTTTTATTTATAATTCCCTATTAGCTACAAATCGTTAATAAGAGTCCTATTTGAAATGAAGCTATGCATATTATTAATTTGGGGCAGCGCAAAACTGTTGCCTTACCTATGTTTTGCAGTACAAAATGTTCCACCACGATGACAAATAAATCAATAAGAGTGAGAGTGGAGTATTCCATATGATGATTTACGATACAATTGGCCTAAACTATTGTTCACGATATATATTTCAATTTAACGGCAAACAGTAGCTGAAAATTGAATCTGACGAATGACTTTTGGGCTAGTTTAATGCTATTATAGTAGTAGAAAAAAATTTCTTTACGTTTGACGATAAAACCCATTCCTAACCTCTGAATTTTTCAAAATTTTCCATAACTTTGACATAAATTGCTTAAGTTTAAATGCTTTACATGATTTTTTAAATAAATACCTTGCTATCTTTTCAGCCATTCCTTTTGTGTCAACATTAATTTATGCAGTTCTTCGGATTGTGTATGCAAATGAAAGGTAGGAATAAGTTGCATTCAGTTAAATGCTTATATTTTCTTGAATATTTACAGATATCACATTGTCTCAAAATAATTTTTTTCTAAACTTCATCATAGTGTCTTGTGGATTGAAAATGAATATATAAACATATAACATGAAATGATATGGATTTTATATTTTAGCTGTTGGTCAACCAGTTATGGTCATTTTGAGTGGATCTTTGATGCTCCTAATCTTGCATGCCTTCTTGTGAGTATACACGCCATTAAAGACAACATTCATTATTTATATTGCTCATTTTTAAATGAAATAAGATACATAAGCGAGCTTTTTCTACTTTTAAAATGCACTTTTTAAATTCCATTAATTTGTATAAGATTGATTAATCATTATAAACTAGATAATATTGAGCTCACATCTGTGTGTATACTTCTATACTTCCAAACTTTAAGTCCAGGACGCAGTGCTACAAAATCACTCCTTTATGCATGATCTATTTTTCTTGCCTTGTAGGTGAACTTAATATTTCTGTGCAATATATTACGTATTTTGCTGACACAGATTCAGTCCCATCCAAATGAACCGAGTCACTTCAGGTACGAAATTGATTTAATACTTTTAAAAACAGAAACAGGTAGAATGTGATGCTTTGCCGGCCATTTCTACCCTGTTTAAAGCAGAGTAAAAATAAATTTATATTTCCAGACAATGCATGGTTGTTTTCTGTGTACTGTAACTCTTGCAACTGTTTCAAATGAAACATTTTGGGTAAAAACCAACCATTCTGAATTTGTAACAGACGCCGTAAGCATTCTGTGGCATGTATTCTTTATTGACGTCTTTTAATCTCGTAAGTTTAGATTTGCACCAGATAATCAATAAAAATAAAGAGATGTGGTAAGATTTTTCAATGAGACAACTAATAACCAAAAGAATAAAGGGCAAGGATGTAAACAGCAACCGAAACCATATGGCCTTCAACAATAGGCAAATCCATTCGCACGTCCCGGGTAACAAAGTGTGAAACAATTCCACAGCGATAACTAACGGCCTAATCTAGGCCTATCAGTGACACACATATGGTTTAGAGGTTTCTGTTTTGCGACAAGCATATTCAGAAGAATTGTTGAAATTGTAATAACAAAACTAAGAAATGCGTAGTAACATATCGAAAATCAAATATAAGTCGCACTGGAGGTAATTATATAACCGTACTAATAATTTTTTTTCAGACAGGTCTTTGATTTGCCTCCGAAGTGTATGACCGCTAACGTCACTACTAAAAATATTAAAGGTATTTGGTTCTCTTCTAGATGTCTCTCTGTAGTTTTTGCTGAGATGTACATTAAAATTTTGTTCTTTTTCAGTCAGAAAAAATGTCTGAAACACTGTTTATTTTGCTCACACATTGTTGTCAATATAATGGAATTACATATGACTGTCATACAAGTGAGAGGTTGAGCTAGCTATAAAACCAGGTTTAATCCACCATTTTCTACATAAGGAAATGCTTGTACCAAGTCAGGAATATGACAGTTGTTTTCCATTCGTTTGATGTTTTTGAGCTTTTATTTTACCATTTAATAAGGGACTTTCGTTTTGAATTTTCCTTGGAGTTCGGTATTTTTGCTATTTTACTTTTTTATACACTCTAGAGCAATTCACAATTTCAGTGTTCTTATCGGATTATTTAGAAATATGCAACGTATATATCCATGATTTCCTAAACATACTAATATCTATTGCAGAAGGGCAGTTAAAGCGACATTTGTGTTGATTCCACTGTTCGGGGTTCAGTTATTTGTCACTATATATAGAATTCCTACATCATCCCCTGGTGGTCTGGAATACGAGAGATTTTCTATTGTTACTAACAATCTTCAGGTGAGACATTTGAAACGTCTGTCGGTACATTTTTGAGATAAACTATAATAGAAAATGGAAGTATTATTTAAATTATAACTATTTCATTACCAATTGCATCTCATTATTTTGCTATGTTTCGTCTTTTTTTATATAAATTTTTTAACAACTTTTAAAAACGGCATCATATTTTGACTTAATATCGTTCTCGCGTATTGTAACAGAAAACCTGTAATATGACATTACACGGCATTGTATTCAAGTATTATATCTAAAAGACATAACAGACAATTAAGTAGATACAGAAATTGCTTGGTATCGGCAATCATCGGCTCTTTTTGACAAATTTTCAAAATAGCTGAAATAGCATGAATAAATTACCTTCATTGTATTTGGCAAAACTCTTGGAATTTGGGGTCCTCAATTTTCTTCAACTACGTATTTTTTTTTTTGGCTTTTATAGCTTTTGTGATTCTAGCGTCACTGATTCGTCTTTGTAAATGAAATGCGCGCGTCTGACGTATATGTTATGCCTTGTATCTATGTTGAGCTTAATCATAAATGCATAATACCGATTTCTTCAATACCCATAACACGTGTTCTTTGAACAGGCAAACTGCTAACCAAGAATTGAGAAGCCAAATACATAACTTGCACAGGGGCCTCGGTGGCCGAGTGGTCTAAGTAGTTACTACTGTAATCACTAGCCAGTCAACACTTAGGTTGTGAGTTCGAACCCCGCTCGTGCGGGTGCACTCGACTCCAATCTTAATTAACTAGGATTGTCAGTTTTCCTATCGAAGGTCAGTGGTTTTCTCCGGGCACTCCGGCTTCCTCCACCAATAAAAACTGGCCGCCACGAAATAGCCCCAAAGCGGTGCTTAAAAGTGGCGTTAAAACACCAAAAATCAAAAATCAATCATAACTTGCACAGATTTATGAAAATTTTCTGCACAGAGTATCTGCACCACATTTGTTATTCTTTTATCCTTAACACTCAAAAATATAAAAGTTCTGAAAGGTTTACAATATCACCAATGTAGCAGAACTTCAAATATCGAAAAATGTAAATACATATTATATGTAAAAAATGATATTTCCAAATACACACTGTTTGAGAATTTTACTAGTACACACATACACTGTTTGAGTATTTTACAAATATACATACATACAATGTTTGAGTATTTTCTTTTAGTCTGTAATTGGTCGTCAGTGGTTTCGATATAGTCTCAGTAAACACACCAATACAGTGTCGGATGTACTATTTTATGTTTAATATGTTGTTGTCTTGCTGTCTCTTGTTTCATATAAATGTAAAATAAATGTTGTACTATAAAACTTATTCTATTGAAGCATACTTTTATTACAGGGGTTCTTTGTAGCGTTGATATTTTGCTTCCTTAATAATGAGGTAAGCAGCCATATACAACTTCAAAGATGTTTTAATAAACTAGTAAGTTTTCTTTCCCTTCTTTAAATTATCCTTCAAAGCATAATTTAACTTAAATTTTCATTGTTTTGCATAAGGATACGATTTTTTCTATTACTGCAGTACAGTTTGAAATTGTGTTTTATTTTATTTTTTTTATTTGGGGGGAGGGTTGCGGTCAGAGTTTGTAATTTGATTTTGAGTACAAATCAGGGATTTCCGAATTAATAGCATGCGATCAAATCAGTTTTATTATTATATCCAATTTATTTATATAAATAAGTAAATGAGTACAATCGACGAATAATCTCCTATTTCACATAAATTCAGCATAACACATATGCATGGATTTTTTTGTGTACTGCAGTTCAAACGTCCTGACTTTTTACAAAAAAAGCTATTTACAATATAGAAATGGACACATGTATCAAAAGACCTAAACATATAGCTATGTCGATCAAATTTCACCTTTTTAATTTAATGTTTATTGCGGTTTTGAATTCATTTTACAAAAACCTCGCAGTAGTATGGCACAACAGAAATCACTGAATTCTAATAAAATGGCCACAAGAACAAGGAACTCGTAGATTTGATCAATATTATACATGCTTGCTTATATTTCTATCTGTAATATCTTAATTTTGTCATATAAAAATAACGAGATGGGTATGATAACTAATGAGACAATATCCATTAGAGTCCAAGAGATGGACAAAAGATACCAACATTCAAACTCATAAGTCGAAAATAAACTGACAACGCCATGGCTAAAAAAGAAAAAGACAAACAGACAAACAATAGTACACAAAACACAACATAGAAAAACTAAAGACTGAGCAACACGAACCCCACCAAAAAAACTGGGGGTGATCTCAAGTGCATCGGAAGGGTAAGCAGATCCTGCTCAACATGTGGCACCCGTCGTGTTGCTCATGTTAGTACAAACCCGGTAATAAGTCTAATTCGGTAGGTCACATTCGGGAAAAGGGGACGGGATTGTAGTTACGACATTATGAACATATCCGCTATCATCTGTGAACGACGTGGTGTAAGCACCTATAGGCCACCCGAAGACATACCAATAGTCAGGCAAAAAAGGCCCGACATGAAAAAATGTGAAACAATTCAAACGACAGAAACAACAGCCAGATTTATGAGGAGAAAAAAGAAATAAAAGATATGACAGACAGGTACCAAAACAGCCAATAAACTTCATACTCCTGACTTGGGACAGGCACACACATATTGTGGCGGGGATATTAGCATGTTGGTGAGTGCTCACCATCACCCCTTACCTTTGACAGTCGACAGCGCAATATCAGCAAACAGTAAAAATATTTTGGAAATAGATTGTCTCATACGAGTGGCACGAAGCACAAAACACAGCAAACATGAAGACCAAAAAAAAGGGAAGTACTGATCTAAGAGTACAAGCAGTTACTGAAAGTGTATGTTCAACGCAAATAACAACAAATAAATAACGAATGTTCTCCAAGACTACAGTATCGATCAGTGTTTGATTCCCGTTCGATAACTGTGAAATGGATTACTTCCATTGCATGTAATTAAAACAATAAACAGAAAAAGTAAACATTTTGTTTCAAAACAAAATAAACCTTTGGTTACAGGTGATTTCAAATATTCGACGGTCATGGCGCCGAAGGGTACGTGACAGAGGAGCATCACATTCCAGGAGAACAGACTTGACATCAGTCAATATGTCCTTGACATCTAGAACTGACGCAGACTTCCATTGTGTTAATAAACCTTTGTGTGACACTAAGAATGAAAACGGAGGCAGCAGTCTTGATAAAGGTGACAACATGTTTTGTCCTTATGACGAAAGTTCTATGAAAAGAAAACATAATACTGACATTTCAAACTTATAACAGTTCGATGTGATGTGGATCATATTTTGATTTCTTCGGTTTTTTTTTTATTATATTTGTCATACTCCGTATTTATGACGATGGAGAAGTCTTCTTTGTAATATATACTGAGGATCATTGATATGTTTACAATTAAAAACTTTTTTTATAAGTGTATCATTTTTATTTTCCATTTAATTTTTCAAATTTGATTCAAACTCCTTTAAAGTAGTTCCTTTTAAACAGTTTTAAGCACGTAAATGATTCAGTGATATTTTACAAAATCACTACCGATGTTTTGAATTAGAAATAACACTTCATAAATTCGTTGCGTTCGAAGAGCTTTTCTGGATTTTCTTTCCTCGGGAACGCTCAAACCAAAACCAAACATTTGAAAGCCAATAATGTATAAATACTTTGATACGTCAGTTATATGATCAAAAGGGAAATAAAAAGAAAAGCCAAATCCACTTAAATCCACACAAATGAAAGTTTATTTTTTTCGTGAAAACATCTATAATATTGGCACTACATAAAGATTGAACAATGCAACAACTGGTAGGTTGTTGTTACGAAATACAAAACAAAACAAAACACCATTTTATTAATTTCGTGTGTCTGACGCGCTTTTTACCAAAATAATGTTAGTACTGAGGCACTGACTTCTAAAATGGTGATACCCTCGAGGACAATTTTTATTTTTGTATTGACTTTCATCATGAACGCTTAAAACTTTACATTTGAAAGCGCAGGATGTATAAAAACGTAGAAATGTTTGAAGCAACACGACCGAAATTAAACTAAGAAGCTAAATTCATCTTAGATCAATTTTGCCACAGGGAGTTGGAACCTTAGTCTAATGATAATTTCTCAATTAATTAATTAATTTAAAAAATTATATTTATTTATCATGTCAGTACCACAGCATTGACTACTGAGCTGATGATACAATACCCCCAGTGGTAGTAAATGAAAATTAATATTTATGAAATATATAAAGACTTAAAATTAAAGTGACAGTTGCTTTGGTTTGTCGAATTGGGAATAAGGCCAAAGAGTGGGTTTGTCATAAAATTATCAAAATGAAATATTTTAGTAAACTTTATTTGTTTTTAATCAATATATTTTGTTTCAATAGTCTCATAGCATGTTAAATAAATAGGGAAACAGAATTTTGTCGGTAATTATACAGGAAATCAAAAGTAGAAATCAAAATTCTATCAAATGTTGACTATGTGATCGGATCATCTAGTTTACATTTTTATAAGCCAACAAAAAAAAAATAGAGCGAAAAACGTTTTGGAAATTAGTCGGGTTATTCTACACAATGCACTGAATAAACGGTAAAATAACATGAAATGTTCAAATGCTATAGAATTAAAAGTACGGATTGGAAATTAAATTCGTCCATAAGTCTAATAAGTAATGTAATTGCATGATGACATTTCCCAGCATGGAAAAGTGCGTATAAAGTTGTGATAATCTGAAGATACGGGATTGATAATCTAATAATAGACCAGTTTCTGTTTTAATGATTTTTTATCTAGTTGAAACCTACATAGATTGATACCTTCATTATGATTTCTAGGGATAAGATATTCCTTAGTTTCGGTTCATTTTCATGAACGTTATTCTTTCATGGGCATAAACTTTCCTATGGTAATACTATTTATAAAGAAAAAAAATAATTTAAAAATGCCTTTATTAACATTAAACGGTACTCATTTCACTGGGACGTTAATGTTCCGAAATTAATCAATGGTGAAGCTGCCTAGATTACATTGTATGAATGAATTACTTATCAGGATACATATATATATATATATATGTGTTGTTTTTCATAATTTTTCTCTTCTTCATTACTAATTAACATTGGAAATAGCAAAAATATACATAAAAAAAACAGGAAAAACAGTCCCGTCAATCTAGTTTAGGTATTGTTGACAGTAGATTAGGATAACAGTAGTTTACCGATGCCCAAATCTTGTAATACAATTAGGGAGAGAAAAGTCTAAATCACAAGCAAATTATCAGGGAATCTCATGAGCTCCAAAAGGAACGAGATCGGTTGTGTCGACAGGGTAAGTGTCCCCTGCTATGTATGCATCACCCGCTATGTGAATTCACTCACAGTCAAAATGTCACAATCAGGAATACGACACACTCGGTTAAATTACAGATCAGACGATTGTGCTGGTATTTAAAAATTTGAGACCGCGAAAACATGTCGTTCACAAATCTTTTACCAACACATCGTATCGGTCTACCAATTTGTGATGGTGACATAAAACTTAGGTAGTGTCCATAACAGACATTCTTCCTCATAAGTCTGTTGGAGAAGTTTTGTGTAAGATGCACACGACAGTTAATGAAGCTTGTATACTGTGAACATGCACGAACGTAACGTTTTAACTAAGATAACTAATTTAAGAAGCACATTCAGGAGCAATACACAAAGTTCAACTGCATATGGGATATACATTTCCCAACTCATTCGGTATTCAAGAGATTGCAGCTGCTACTCAGACTTTATGAAACGTCACCAGTGTCTGAGTAGAATATTGATGAACCAGGGTTATGTCAAAGAACGGCTCGTCCTTTTTCTAAAAAAAAGTCCATCGGAAGATACCAAGACCTTGATGATAAATATTCCGTATCAACTTCACAAATAATACATGATGGTCTTGAAGTATAGATTCTAGGTACTGATGTTGTTTATCATCTTCATACCGTGTTATATTGTTCTTTTCATTTGTCTTTGTATATTTTTAACCTTTACTGTTTAGTCGATTTTTTGTTATATACTTCTGGCGTGGCTCGATATAAATACATCCCGCCATTGTGTTATTGTGCTGTGGTATTTTTTGTATTTTTGTATTCTTTTCTTTCATTTTTACTCATGTACTTTGTCTACAGAGTGTCTATATGCCAATTTTTGTTTGTTTTTTGTTGAAATAGTATTTTGTTTTATAGTAATTAGGATTATAAACTTTGTTGACTGCTGTACTCCAATTTTTGACATTCTTACCTTTTATGTCTGTTTGTTTTGCTCCATCATTGTTGTCAATATAATGGAATCAATGCGACTGTCATACAAGTGAGAGGTTTAGCTAGCTATAAAACCAGGTTTAATCCACCATTTTCTACATAAGGAAATGCATGTTCCAAGTCAGGAATATGACAGTTGTTTTCAATTCGTTTTGTGTTTGATTTTTTTTATTTTGCCCTTTGATAAGGGACTTTCCGTTTTGACTTTTGCTTGGAGTTCGGTATTTTTGTTATTTTACTTTTAATTAATGTGGAAAATATATTTTCTTCGGGATAGGAAGCTTATTTTTACTAACAGATACAAAACAAAAGCAGATATGGTATGATTGCCAATTAAAACTATCAATCAGAGTTCAAATGTAGTCGATGTTACCAATACGTGTGATCCATATCATTTCCATTACCAGAAATACTATTTTACTATACTCTGATTTCTCACGTCGTTTAAACGTTTTATGAGCTAACTGGATCACTGTATTTTTGAACTGATTAAGTAATTGTGAATGCTGGACATTTTTCAAACACCCGTCTTTGTATTTATGAACATAATCCCTGCGTAAAGAAATATATTAATTGTATCATTTAAAAGCAGTTATCGATACAGTCATAAGGAATTTACCCCCATTAGAATATTCATCCCCTAAAACCAAACACGTTGACGGAAAGATAACGATTGGAATCGAGTGTATTATAGGCAACCGTACGGCCTTCAACAATGAGAAAATCCCATACCGTATTGTCGGCTATAAAAGACCCCGACATGCAAAATGAAAAAACAATTCAAACGAAAAAACTAACGGCATAATTTATAACAATACAATTGACGAAAAACAAATATAACAGCTACTAAATCTAGACTTCTTAATGATTTAGTAAAAATCAACTCTGCAAACTCCATTATGACTTATTTGACCGTTCCGCAGTAATTATGTCTAGGTGACCACGGATTCTGTATGTAGTAGGAAGCCAAAAACGCGTCAAAAGCGACGTTTTACTGGCTTTATGCTTTTCAAGTTTTTTCAGTCAGTACAGGTATTTTATATTCTTTACTAGGAAGAACGACTTATAATAACATTTCAAACTTTCACAGTTGGTCATTTGTTTTAGAATTCACATTCTCTTTATAAAGCTAAGTTTATGGTTAAACAAAAACAATGTATTATTGGGCTATAGTGTGACGTATCACAATTGCTTATAACTTAATTTCAGTCTTTCATATTAGTAAGACGACGGGTACCTAAGTGAAGCACCTGATTAGCAATTAGCTATGTTACACACTTGTGTTTTATTAAATCAGCATTCGGAATAAAAATCAGAATACATCTGAATAAAAGACAAAAACTGTATTCAATAGAGGAAAAGATAAATTTCCTCACATGCACTTTGTGATATTAATTGTCTTTTCCGTGCAGCGTGATAATCTGTTTAATGTTTTATATCTATGTTAATTGTAACCTGCAGTTAGAGTATCGACACTTCACTTTGTCATCTAATTGCCTAAAGTACATCAAATTGATTGAAATATGTTTTCTGTAAGACTGTAATTATTTAAGCTGACTCTTAAAGCAAAAATGCTCTTTCAGAAAATAGCATGTCACTTGAAAAAGAAAATTATGTAGCTACATATTGAACATGAAGTTTGCACCGTACACTTTGATTGTACGTGTTAATATTTGAATGAGTAACAGTAAGATGAAAAGCTGAATACTAAATGACGTACATACAGTAATTAATTCAAAGTAAGATGTACTCTTTCAAGTTTTATTGGTAGATATTATACTTTTGATTATTAACGCTCTTCAGCTTTGTATTTGATTTGGCTTTTTTGATTATTTTGATCAGAGCGCCACCGTTGAGTCTCATGTAGACGAAACGCGCGTATGGCGTACCCAATTATAAGCCTGGTATCATTGATGAGTTATTATAGTAACAACTTTACACAAAGCCATAGGTCTAAACGTGCAGAAAATCAACTCTGTAGAGTATCTTTCATGCCCATCATAGTTTACATAGAAATCATCCGAATATTCCAAGTAATGTAATATAGTTACAAGTTTTTGACTTGGGATTTGTATCTTCTTCTGTAAATGCATCGGTATTAAGATTTATATTCCATCTTGAAAATGTCT